TTGCTAGTTTTTTTTAAAACAGTAAAATCTGAGGTAGTAAACAAAATTCATCAAAGTCAAAACTGCTTCAATGTTAAAAGTTGATCAAAGTCAGAATATTAATATACCCCAAAACACTGACGTTTCATCATCTAAAGTTGTGTTTATTGACAACCTGCATTCATTTTTTATCTAATAAAATTACATAAAATTCGGGGTGGCAATTTTCCTAACTATTATAGCAAGAATGACTGGGTGGCAATTGTCCTTGGTAGCAATTGTCATAGGTGGCAATTGTCCAAGGTGGCAGTTGTCCGGGTGGCCGGTGGCAATTGTTTCGCTCCCTCATACCAACTGACGAGCTGCCAGCAGTAAAAGATCTCAAGAAAACAGTCGTGAAGTGAAGGCAAGTGAAAGGTTGGCAGCAACGAATGATCACATGAATGCGACACCTGTTACATAGCAACCGATGGTTACATCAATGATTACCGCACAGTGTATTTGTAATATGACAAGCAATGTAAGCAGTGTAAGCAAGGTGTCATACAAAAGCAGTATGTGTGGTGTTTTAAGCTTTACAATATCGCTACCCGACTGCATTAGTGGATTCTGAGCCAGTATTCACTTCTGATATTGTAGATGGTAGGGTGTCAGGTACATTATGGTAGAAAGTCACAGAGATACTTATTTTCCAGAAGTCGAATTAACGAGCTTGTGAAATGATTGTTCCACAAAATAAAGTCAGGAGCTGATAATTAATTATATAAATATCGATAATGTCAAAGAACCACCACTCGCGATTACTGTTAGTAACAAAGACAATACCGGGTGTTCATGTAACAGGAAAGCACGTGCCATTCGGGGCACATCAGAAATGGGCTTCAGACATTGTACCCGTGTGTGTGTGTGCGTGTGCGTGCGTGCGTGCGTGCGTGTGTGTGTGTGGTTATCAACCACCATACACTCGTCCCCCAGCGCTAGATGAAACGCGTGGTCAGGGTTACGAGTAGGTATATGTTTCCCAGTGTTTGTTCATACTATAAAAATAAGGCTTGATAAAAGGATGGTTAGCTAGCCCAGTCAGCTCGGCGTCCTACAGGTTGTGAGGGCAAGGACTCCCTGTTATCTGTGCAATGGAATCCTGGCCAAGTCTCTTCTAAGAACACTTCCTGGTGTATACGGGATTGAGAAACCTAAAACCTGGCGGTGGGTGGTTTCTGGTCTCACCAAAGTATCTTTATGGGAACCTGATGGTGGGTCTCTGGTTTCTGGTCTCACCAAAGTATCTCCATGGAAACCTGATGGTGGTTCTCTGGTTTCTGGCCTGACTGAAGTATCTCCATGGAAACCTGATGGTTAGGCTCTGGTTTCTGATCTGACATAGAGGATATCTCCATAATGGGTCCCTGTTGTTCCTTTCACGAAGCAACCTTTACTAAGGTTAACATTAACTCCCATTCTTTAACATTGTACTCAGGTTACCTTAGTCACATACGATCACCTTAGTGCTTTGTGAAAGGAGGCCCTGGTCTCAGGCAAATATTGTTATGGTAGCCTGATGGTAGGTCCCTTGTCTCTGACTTCTGCTAAGTATTGTCATGGAAACCTGATGGTAGGTCGACAGTCTCTGACCGCTGCCAAGTACTGTCATGGAAACCTGATGGTAGGTCGACAGTCTCTGACTGCTGCCAAGTACTGTCATGGAAACCTGATGGTAGGTCGACAGTCTCTGACTGCTGCCAAGTATTGTCATGGAAACTTGATGGTAGGTCCCGAGTCTCTGACAGCTGCCAAGTATTGTCATGGAAACCTGATGGTAGGTCCCGAGTCTCTGACAGCTGCCAAGTATTGTCATGGAAACTTGATGGTAGGTCCCAAGTCTCTGACCGCCGCTAAGTATTGGCATGGAAACCTGATGATAGGTCCCCAGTCTGTGACATCTGCTAAGTATTGTCATGGAAACTTTATGGTAGGTCCCCAGTCTCTGACCGCTGCTAAGTATTGTCATGGAAACCTTGATGGTAGGTCCCCCCAGTCTCTGACCGCTGCTAAGTATTGTCATGGAAACTTGATGGTAGGTCCCCAGTCTCTGACCGCTGCTAAGTATTGTCATGGAAACTTGATGGTAGGTCCCCAGTCTCTGACCGCTGCTAAGTATTGTCATGGAAACTTGATGGTAGGTCCCCAGTCTCTGACAGCTGCTAAGTATTGTCATGGAAACTTGATGGTAGGTCCCCAGTCTCTGACCGCTGCTAAGTATTGTCATGGAAACTTGATGGTAGGTCCCCAGTCTCTGACCGCTGCCAAGTATTGTCATGGAAACTTGATGGTAGGTCCCCAGTCTCTGACCGCTGCTAAGTATTGTCATGGAAACCTGATGATAGGTCCCCAGTCTGTGACAGCTGCTAAGTATTGTCATGGAAACTTTATGATAGGTCCCCAGTCTCTGACAGCTGCTAAGTATTGTCATGGAAACTTGATGGTAGGTCCCCAGTCTCTGACCGCTGCTAAGTATTGTCATGGAAACTTGATGGTAGGTCCCCAGTCTCTGACCGCTGCTAAGTATTGTCATGGAAACCTGATGGTAGGTCCCCAGTCTCTGACTGCTGCTAAGTATTGTCATGGAAACTTGATGGGTCCCCAGTCTCTGACCTGCCAGTCTCTGACCGCTGCTAAGTCCCATTGTCATGGAAACTTGATGGTAGGTCCCCAGTCTCTGACCGCTGCTAAGTATTGTCATGGAAACTTGATGGTAGGTCCCCAGTCTCTGACCGCTGCTAAGTATTGTCATGGAAACCTGATGGTAGGTCCCCAGTCTCTGACCGCTGCTAAGTATTGTCATGGAAACTTGATGGTAGGTCCCCAGTCTCTGACCGCTGCTAAGTATTGTCATGGAAACTTGATGGTAGGTCCCCAGTCTCTGACCGCTGCTAAGTATTGTCATGGAAACTTGATGGTAGGTCCCCAGTCTCTGACAGCTGCTAAGTATTGTCATGGAAACTTGATGGTAGGTCCCCAGTCTCTGACCGCTGCTAAGTATTGTCATGGAAACTTGATGGTAGGTCCCCAGTCTCTGACAGCTGCTAAGTATTGTCATGGAAACTTGATGGTAGGTCCCAGTCTGACATCTGCTAAGTATTGTCATGGAAACCTGATGGTAGGTCCCCAGTCTCTGACATCTGCTAAGTATTGTCATGGAAACCTGATGATAGGTCCCCAGTCTGTGACATCTGCTAGTATTGTCATGGAAACTTGATGGTAGGTCCCCAGTCTCTGACATCTGCTAAGTATTGTCATGGAAACTTGATGGTAGGTCCCCAGTCTCTGACCGCTGCTAAGTATTGTCATGGAAACCTGATGGTAGGTCCCCAGTCTCTGACAGCTGCTAAGTATTGTCATGGAAACCTGATGATAGGTCCCCAGTCTGTGACATCTGCTAAGTATTGTCATGGAAACCTGATGGTAGGTCCCCAGTCTGTGACATCTGCTAAGTATTGTCATGGAAACTTGATGATAGGTCCCCAGTCTCTGACCGCTGCTAAGTATTGTCATGGAAACCTGATGGTAGGTCCCCAGTCTCTGACATCTGCTAAGTATTGTCATGGAAACTTGATGGTAGGTCCCCAGTCTCTGACCGCTGCTAAGTATTGTCATGGAAACTTTATGATAGGTCCCCAGTCTCTGACCGCTGCCAAGTATTGTCATGGAAACTTGATGGTAGGTCCCCAGTCTCTGACAGCTGCTAAGTATTGTCATGGAAACTTGATGGTAGGTCCCCAGTCTCTGACCGCTGCTAAGTATTGTCATGGAAACTTGATGGTAGGTCCCCAGTCTCTGACAGCTGCTAAGTATTGTCATGGAAACTTGATGGTAGGTCCCCAGTCTCTGACCGCTGCTAAGTATTGTCATGGAAACTTGATGGTAGGTCCCCAGTCTCTGACCGCTGCTAAAACTATTGTCATGGAAACTTGATGGTAGGTCCCTAGTCTCTGACCGCTGCTAAGTATTGTCATGGAAACTTGATGGTAGGTCCCCAGTCTCTGACCGCTGCTAAGTATTGTCATGGAAACCTGATGGTAGGTCCCCAGTCTCTGACAGCTGCTAAGTATTGTCATGGAAACTTTATGGTAGGTCCCCAGTCTCTGACCGCTGCTAAGTATTGTCATGGAAACTTGATGATAGGTCCCCAGTCTCTGACCGCTGCTAAGTATTGTCATGGAAACTTGATGGTAGGTCGACAGTCTCTGACAGCTGCTAAGTATTGTCATGGAAACTTTATGATAGGTCCCCAGTCTCTGACCGCTGCCAAGTATTGGCATGGAAACTTGATGGTAGGTCGACAGTCTCTGACAGCTGCCAAGTATTGTCATGGAAACCTGATGATAGGTCCCCAGTCTGTGACATCTGCTAAGTATTGTCATGTTAACGAATGGTTTGTCCCCGGTCCTCTTTAATTGTATCCATTGAAACCTGATGATAGGTCCTTTGTTCTGCTGACCATGAATACTCTGATCTCTTGCAACCAGGAGACCCGTGAAGACCCGGGTTAGAATTGATCTTCAGCAGCCCATAGTTGTAATAGGCGACTAACGAGAGGGATCGGGTGGTCAGATTCGCTGACTTGGTTGACACATGTCATCGTAACCCCATTGCGTACATCGATGCTCATGCTGTTGATCACTGGATTGTGTGGTCCAGACTAGATTATTTACAGACTGTCGCCATATAGCTGGAATATTGCTGAGTGTGGCGTAAAACTAAACTCACTCACTCACACGACCAGGAACGGATTTCCACAGTGAGTGAGTGATTGAGTTGGGTTCAATGCCTCTTTGAACAGAATGTTCTTTATACAACATGGTGTCACCGTCTTGAGGGAAGAAGCCAAAGTTACTAAGTTTATCACTGTGGAAAACACAAGAGCTAATTTTGACTTTAAGGCCATACAGATCCTGGCAAACCCAAGGGAAGTATATCGACAGCACACTGCCAACTGTAAAGACTGAGAAGGAACAACAGACTGTAACTTGATAGGTTTATTCATGGACATGCCACTACATAGTTCTCACAATACATGTATAACAACTTCACAGTCAATGAACAAAAATGTTTGTTCATCCATTTAAAAAAAATGTCAAAATATGCATAAAAAACAGAGCTGGTTTGGCTACTTCATCAAACACGGTAAAATATGTTCAAAATTTAGACAGCAATAATATCGACTTCAGAGGACAAGAACAGATGGATAAACACATACATTCTAGCCACGCTCAACACAAACATGGCAGAATATAATGTTCAGAACATGAACAGCAGAACACAAGGCTAATTTTTTCAACTGGTGCTTCACATTGCAGAGGAAACACATCAAGAGAAAGACCGTATATTGTGTTTGTCAAACACTGGAGACATTTCTACAAATTCTTATTTATAAAAATAATAGACTTTCAGAGAACAGTAAATTATGAATGAAAGTTTGCCTCATTTGTGTCTGTGTTTAAGAAGATTTGAATGTTTCAGTATTGAAGCTGTCAATGGTTCAGTCGACGACAGGACACAAGGTTGATCCACTTGTGAGGATTGTAGCAACTTGATACCGCCACATCTGTTACTGTGGAATACAGTCTGCCTCGATTAACATCCAAACATGACTGACAGTACAGATGACCATCATCCATTAAAGGGCAATAACCATGTTATCACCAGCACCACCTTAGTTGGAATGAAGGACAGAACTGAACCATATGTAGTGGTGAATGTTGTTTTAGATGAAGGTGGAGATTGTTGATGCCAGTCAGCTAGAACAAGGCAGCTGGCACGTAATGACGCCTGAACAAAACCAGCGACTGATTGCTTGAGCAACCACTCAATGGACCACACTCCATGACAGGTCACACACTGTAACCTTGGGCACCATATTATGTAACAGGAAAGGTTCTTTCGAAACAACTTTCTCTCAAACATCCACATCAATGTATTTGAGGCTTGAATGCAAAGAGCTGTTCATCAACAGTGGCTGGCTTAGAAGGATGCTAACAGTGTGGACATAAATCCCCTGCACTCGTTCAGACACGGACTCAAAGCCCACCTGTCAATGTATCCACTGAATGTCATACAGGGTAACAAGAAATACCTTGGCCTGGTACAGTCACCCACCTTCCCGACAAACCCTTTACCCATTAGATGACGGAGGTGGTTACGCTAGGATAGTGTGTGTATCAGGAAACACTAAACTACCTTTAAATGTATAATCAACGCTATGAAATGATTATTATGGGTCTATGTACAGAGACTATAATCAAAACACTGTGTAACTATGGTAATGCAAGTCTGTGAGCATGGTGAGGCAAGAGACAATCAAGAATCACTTTTGACAAAACACTGATGACAAATCACTGATGACGAATCACTGACTACTGTTTCTAGATGAAGTGGATCAATACAATTCAAGATATGACAATCTTTGGGAAAGGGGATATAAACTACTGCTGATATAATAGGGGAGATAACCCAGTCTCTTTGCAATGGGAGTTAGTCACAGAGTGAAGATGTTTTGAGCACACATATATACTGGCAAACAAGGATTAGTTGAGAATTGACCCCTATTAGCATGTATGAGTGCTTGCCATTGTGAGCAAAGTGGCCCCAGGTTGTTCGCGATTAAGTGTAGTGTGATGGGTGAAGCGCGTGGCCAGTCTCAGCAAACTCCGAGTTCAGGTACGCATGGAATCAATTTCATCGTCATGCACTGCACGTGCACCAGCCAAGACCAATGGATCAATTCAAGACATGACAATATTTGGGAAAAGGGACATAACCTAATCTCGAGATCATAGGGGAGATAACCCAGTCTCTTTGTAAGGGAAGTTAGTCACAGAGTGAAGATGTGTAGAGCATGCATGTAGGCCTTGTCAGGCCCGGGGTCTTGCTAAAACCATTCCTACCTACCAGTGCTGAGCACAATGGGAAGGAGTTATTATGGGACAGATGCTCAAGTCATGTGGACTGCAGTGAAACTATGCCCTTATATGGACAAGAAAACAACAAATATGTCCAAAAGACAAAGCCATACTGTGGTCTAGAACACAACATATGCTATTGTTCTGTGGTTTGATTGTTCCACACCGCAACTGCTAAAATACTAAAACTGGCTTTGGTGAAGATGGGAAATTCTTAATCATGATAATGCCTGACTGGACCTGGTTGCTATGGTTACAGGTCATGGTTACTTACATCTGATTACCATGTTGTCAATACTTCCACAGCTGGCGTGTAGAAACGTTGAGTGAGATGGGTTTGAATCTGCTTTGAGCAGTACCAGTTTATGGGGAAGGAAGACAAACTGATGCAAACCCTGCATTGATATGGCGCTGAAATACCTAGACACATGGCCAAAAGAGATTTGAACTCATGATCAGAGGTTTCAGGAGTGAGTAAGGGAAGCAACTCTGCACATCAGATTTAAGTGTTTACAGGAGCCAAATCCCCCATGATTCCTCTCTCGATGGTGCTGTAACACCGAGAACTGTTTCACCTGTGTGGACCTGTAATACTTCTCAAAACAGCGATGTGCTTCCTGCCACACAGCCATGCTGGGATTCCCTTCTTACACACTAGTTTATGTATAGTCAGGTCTGGTTACCATGGTTACATGTTTGTTTCTTCTTCTTCCTGTTCTCCGATGTTGAAGTACGAGTCCAGGAGGTCATGTGCCTGCTGTCGGATCATCTCATTCTCATGATATTCCAGCCCCTCGAGCCGAGCAACACCGTCACTCTCCTCAAACTGGAACTTGGCCTGGAACACCAACATATATCTGTATATATACACACACACACATACACACAACATGACTCTCCTCAAACTGGAACTTGGCCTGTAACACCAACATATATCTGTATATATACACACACACACACAACATCACTCCCCTCAAACTGGAACTTGGCCTCTAACACCAACATATATCTGTATATATACACACACACACACACACACACACACACACACACACACACACACACACACAACAACATGACTCTCCTCAAACTGGAACTTGGCCTGTAACACCAACATATATCTGTATATATACACACACACACACATCACTCCCCTCAAACTGGAACTTGGCCTCTAACACCAACATATATCTGTATATATACACACACACACACACACACACACACACAACATGACTCTCCTCAAACTGGAACTTGGCCTGTAACACCAACATATATCTGTATATATATACACACAAACAGACACAACATGAGTCTCCTCAAACTGGAACTTGGCCTGTAACACCAACATATATCTGTATATATACACACACACACAACATCACTCTCCTCAAACTGGAACTTGGCCTCAAACACCAACATATATCTGTATATATACACACACACACACACACACACAACATGACTCTCCTCAAACTGGAACTTGGCCTGTAACACCAACATATATCTGTATATATACACACACACAGACACAACATGACTCTCCTCAAACTGGAACTTGGCCTGGAACACCAACATATATCTGTATATATACACACACACAGACACAACATGACTCTCCTCAAACTGGAACTTGGCCTGTAACACCAACATATATCTGTATATATACACACACACAGACAGACACAACATGACTCTCCTCAAACTGGAACTTGGCCTGTAACACCAACATATATCTGTATAAATATATACACACACAGACACAACATGACTCTCCTCAAACTGGAACTTGGCCTGGAACACCAACATATATCTGTATATATACACACACACACATACACACAACATGACTCTCCTCAAACTGGAACTTGGCCTGTAACACCAACATATATCTGTATATATACACACACACACACAACATGAGTCTCCTCAAACTGGAACTTGGCCTGTAACACCAACATATATCTGTATATATACACACACACACACAACATGACTCTCCTCAAAGTGGAACTTGGCCTGGAACACCAACATATATCTGTATACACACACACACACACACACACACACACACACACACACACACACACACACACACACACACACACACACACACACACACACACACAACTGACTCTCCCTCAAACTGGAACTTGGCCTGGAACACCAACACACACACACACACACACACACACACACACACACACAACATGACTCTCCTCAAACTGGAACTTGGCCTGTAACACCAACATATATCTGTATATATATACACACACACAGACACAACATCACTCTCCTCAAACTGGAACTTGACCTGGAACACCAACATATATCTGTATATATATATACACACAGACACAACATGACTCTCCTCAAACTGGAACTTGGCCTGGAACACCAACATATATCTGTATATATATATACACACAAACAGACACAACATGACTCTCCTCAAACTGGAACTTGGCCTGGAACAGTGAGTGTGTATACAGCATGGACCTAAATCCGCTGCAATAATGGAAGTCCAGTGTACATACAGAAGGTAGTGGTGCGTGATATCCGAGTTAAATCTGTTACACAACGTACCGCTTCTACTTGTCGCAGCGCCATCTCTGAGAAGGACAACGCCAGGTGCAGCATCTCCACATCCGGGGACTTGAGCAGTAGCGCAATCTGGGGCATCGCTCCCCTGTGAATCAGCTCTGTGCAGATGTCGGCGCCATGGCAACCCAGATTACACAGGAGGTAGGCTGCCTGTAATACAGATAGTACACTTCAACACAACTTCGGGCAAAGTGACATGGATCCCTTTAAAACCAGCAAGAACATTATAGTGCAGATCAAGTGATCACGGCGAAGCTAGGATATAGAGCCAATGCAGAATGGGCTTAACACAGTTTCCAGGGACTTGATGTGAAATGAATACATCAGTTATCCCTTCACCATGCATACACTCACCTCTACTTTGATATCATAGGCATCAGACAGTCTCTCTATGATGTGTGCCAGGATGGGGCCAAAGGCTACTGATCGACACACGCTCTCTTCACCTGTAACAACGCAACATACAACATATATATACAGTCGTGCCCCGTTTATCCAAACCTCAGATATCCGGAAAACTCGCCTTCCGAATGAAAATTCCTTAAAACAAATTCGAACTAACCTGTAGAGGTTTCAGATTCTTTGAATATATTCCTCCTTGGGGTACTTATAAGCATTTAAATGTCCATTTAAAATCCCTACGACAGTTGTAACAATATTTGAATAAAATATTTACAAAACAAAAACTACGTTTTGTCTTGTGAGACCACCCTTACAGGGCCCTCTGGCCCCCTACAGCCAAGAGCAGGTAACTCTAGACCGTAACCTCGTACCTCACTTTCCATGCTGAACGACATCAGACAGAATGTGGGGAGGTGGTCGGGCGTACCCAAGGAGGAATATATTCAAAGAATCTGAAACCTCTACAGGTTAGGTCGATTCTTTTTATATATTCCTCCTTGGGGTACTTATAAGCATAAGACAGACTCCTAAAGACGGAGCTAAGGAGCTGCATTCTGTCTGCAGAAAACACCCCCGACAAGAAGTGGAATTTCCCAAGCTAATTATAGCAGAAAAAGCACACTTACCCGGTCACATGTCCACCATAGCCAATCAGGCGGGGGCATGAGCCAGGGTCAAGGTCGAACATATGTAAATTGCCCAGCGAAACCTCGCTAAAGCAAACTAACGAGACACACCCTCCCTCCTTCCGTAATCTACTCGGGCGAAGATAAGGGTCCCGCAATAAGCCGCCAGAAACGAAATGCCTTAATATGTATATATTTAGCAAAGCTTCCAAGGCCAGTAAAGTCTAGAGCAGAATGCAAAAGACATGGGAATAAAAACCATCACCACATAAAACCCGTCACCAAGGGAATATGTAAACAAGATTTTAAAACCCAACACCAGTGTTAAAAAATTTGGCATAGAATGGTTCACATAATTCCTCGAAAGCTCAATTGGCTAGAGAGGTGGAACCATGCCCACTGGAGAGAACTGACTGACCGAACCGAGGACGCTCACTGGAGAGTCTGTCAAGTTGGTAATGACGGATGAACGTACTCGGACGGCTCCAAATAGCCGCGGAGCAGATCTCCTCAATGGGCAGGGCTGCAGCGCAAGCTTTCGATGTAGAAACTGCCCTAACCGAATGAGCTTTCAACCCTACAGGCGGGATACGCCCTGTTTGAGTATAGCTCATATGTATGGCAGAGACAAGCCACCGAGAAATGGTTTGCTTGGTCGCCGGAAGACCAGCCTGAACCCCGCCATAACAACAAAACAATTGGTTACCCTTACGGGTACCCCTTGTTCGTTTAATATAAGCCTTAAGTGTCTTACGGACATCTAAGACGTGAGCACGTCGTAGAGAGGTACCGGACAGGGAAGGCTGAGTGAAAGCTGGGAGCTCAATAGGCGCCGTCACATGGAAGGGACTATCCTTCTTAGGACGGTAAGTATCAGGCAGCCGTATGCTAACTCTGTCTTTGTGAAAAACAGTAAGCGCGGGATCGGCCGACATTGCATGAATATCGCCAACCCGCCTGCCTGAAGTCACCGCCACAAGAAACGCCATCTTCCACGTCAACAGCTGGAGTGAAAGAGCCGACAGATTGTGAAACAGTGGACCGGACAGCCAATCAAGAACGATTGACAAGTCCCACGGGGGACTAATCCGCCGGACAACCGGACGGATTCTGTCCACGCCTGCTAAAAAGCGCTGTACAAGAGGGTGCTGCCCTAAGAGAGCACCGTCAACAGGAATATGAAACGCAGAAATAGCTGTAGAATATCCTCGAACAGTTGAAGCCGCTAGACCGGCGTCCAACCGAGACTGGAGGAATTCTAAAACACAGACTAAATCTGTAGAAAAGGGATCAAGAATCCCCCTGTTGACACACCAGCGCGAATAACAGGCCCATTTATCCTCATATCGAACGTTTGTCGAATCCCTCCGCGAAGCCAGAATTGTGTCTGCAACTGGTGCAGGAATTCCGCTCGCAAGGAGGCGATCCCTGACAGCGGCCAGGCCACCCACTGAATCCTGGGATTCGGGTGGGGCGCTCCGTTCTGGGATAGGAGGTCCGGTCGAAAAGGTAATAGAACAGGAGGCTGAGCCAGAAACCTGAGAATTACCGGAAACCAGCGTTGTGCCGACCAAAGGGGTGCCAGAAGCACAAGTAGCCGAGCTGGTTGTGCGGTCAGCTGTGACAGGACCCTGGAAATCAGTGGTATCGGGGGGAACGCCCACAGTACCCTGTCCGTCCAATCGAGCTGAAAGGCGTCGTTGGCTATTAACGCCCCCGATCCGAATCCGGGAACAAAACAGAGGAATCTGGTTCGTCACCCCAGACGCAAACAGATCCACCTGGAACGACCCGAACAACTGGGAGATAATCCCGAATATCTCCCGGTCGAGCATCCACTCGTGTGGGGCTAGTTTACGCCGTGAGAGTGCATCTGCACGGACGTTGTCTACCCGCGGGAGATAAACAGGCAAAACCCGAATGTTGAACTGATCGCACCACAGTAGAAACTGCCACGCCTCCTGAAGGAGCCGACGGAGACACTGTGCCGCCTTGCTTGAGAATGTAAGACATGGCCGTTTGATTGTCCATTTCTAGACGAACCACACGGCCCTCCACCAACACCGGAAGCTTTTCGAACACCCTGCGGACCGCTCTCAGTTCTAACACATTGATGTGTAGGCTGACTTCCCTCGACCAGAGGCGGAGGCTGAGTGCTCGCCAGGACCCCCTCCAACCTGTGAGGGAGGCGTCCGTCTGAACTGAGAGAGAAGGTGTCGGGGTGTCGAGGGGGATCCTGATGGTAGAATGCGGAGACGCGCCTCGGCGACCTTGGTAGGCGGGAAAGCCTCCCCCGGGAGCCGAAACTCTGCAGGGTCGAGCGCCTGTGTGGGAACGGCCACCTGGGGCAGGGCCTCGGCAATTTTTTCCCGCACCTGCCTCAGAGACGAGCCAAAGGAGTACGGCACTCCCGCCTCCGACTCCTCCCTCCCTCCATCGTCCTCCATGTCCACCTCGGCATAATCCTCGGCAGCCGTACTCTCATACTCCTGAGAGACCGCCGAGGATACACCAGAGGCTGAACCCGAAAGACCATAAAGGTCAAGAGGTGCCAGAAGCAACGAGTTGCCCAGCCGGGCAGAACTCGCCCCAAGTCGCCGAGGCGCCCGAGAGGAACCTGCCGCGACAGGCCTCCCGGGCAACCCAGACTGGCTGCCAGGCGCCGAGGTGTCCCCGAGCTGGGCAGTGCTGAGGCGACTGCCAGTCAGGGCACCAGGCGAAGCCAGGGGCAACCCTGTATCGCCGGCGCCAGCCACCTGTGACGGACCTACGCCCGAAGCGAGGTTGCCACTAGGTGCCGAGGGCGCGCTATCTCCACGGCCTAAGCCGGGATCAAGCTGCCCAGGGGGAGGCGCGTTCCCAGAGCCAACTCCGGGCGCAGCCAACCCCCAGATCCACCCCCACCCCCACGACCGCACGGTGAGCTCCTTACGGAATCCATCCAACGCCGTATCGATGAGAGATTTCACTGACGCCATCTGTTCCTGGAAGAAAGTGGTTAGTGATTCAACGGGCACAACTGGTGCCGACACAACAGGGGGTGGGTAGAGACAGGAGCAGGTTGAGGTTTGGTATTAGATGCCTCCTTGGAACCTTTAGATCTTTTGGGAGCCGGCTCCGTATCGGAAGCGGCTCCCGTAGACCCCTTTTTTTGTGTGAACGCTTGGACGGGGGATCCTGTGCCCAGATATCACCCCCCGCCCGAATCAGGTTGATCCACTCGTCGTGCTCGAATCGTTTGAGGCGTAAAAGTGGCACATGCCACACACCCCTCTTCCTCATGCTCAGTTTTGGTGAGGCAACGTAAGCACACCTCGTGTGTGTCCCTGACGGGGAATGGCCGCGAGGCACGAAGTACAGGATTTAAACTGCAACAAGTAAACAACCTGTGCAGCAATCAACCCCGTACACACAGACATATATGACATGTAACCACATATACGTAAAAATTACTAACACCACCTGTAACATTGAAAAACCACACGGGAAACCAATGAACAGTGATGCTAGCGAAGGGACCTGGCCGCCATCTTGGCACGCACCCGGCGAGCCGACCGTGACAGGTACCAAGTTACAACTAAAAATTATGAATGAAAAAGTTCAGGATAAGCCTTCAAATCGCCCATGCAGGGAAAAAAGAGAACCATACATACAGTTGCTGTTTCTGACCCACTCATAATTCTCGCCGGGAAAAGAAAACTTTCTTGTAATGGACCCACGTCTATGTCGGGAAACGACAGCATGGAAAGTGAGGTACGAGGTTACGGTCTAGAGTTACCTGCTCTTGGCTGTAGGGGGGGCCAGAGGGCCCTGTAAGGGTGGTCTCACAAGACAAAACGTAGTTTTTGTTTTGTAAATATTTTATTCAAATATTGTTACAACTGTCGTAGGGATTTTAAATGGACATTTAAATGCTTATAAGTACCCCAAGGAGGAATATATAAAAAAGAATCACAACGTTGTAAAATTACTCACTTATCTGGAAATCCGGTTTCCGTAACCGGACGGTCATTTTCACATACAAAAAGCTAAATTATATGCATTTTTTCTCTCGTATATCCGGATGGCTGAGCACCAGTCAGTATGTTTACACACGCATTTTACCGAGTAGCCTTGAGTGCCCTAACCTAAAAGAAGCGTGAGAGGATCATGAAAAGATTAACTACCTGTAATTAGCAAGGGGACAGGTACCCCTTAGGTACAGGAACAATGCAAATGCGTGGATGACATCAGAACTGTTTCGTGATTGGTTGCTAGCATTTGACAGACAGATGCATGTACAGGTATGTTCGCACATGTTATTGACTTGACTACTTTATTTGACAAGATGTGATTTTATGTATGCACTGTTATTTGTTGATGTCTTATCAATAAAGATTACGTCTGGGGTCTATTATGTTCATTTCTTTGTATGTCCTTTTACATATGGTCCGTGGTTCAGATATCCGGAAATGTGTTTATCCGGACAATTTCAAGAAAAACACAAGTGTCCAGATAAACAGGGCACAACTGTATATATATATATACTCAGCTTCAGGGTATAGCACAGCATGACACTTTAATGTGGGAAGAAACCCAAAGTGATGCAGTTCTCAGATGTTTTTACCTTTGGTTAAATCCACAAACATGGGCTTAGTGCTGACAAACCTATAAACTTACTGTTGGAGAGCACCCAAAGTGTCTCCTTGACGATGTGCCTGTGTGGGGTGATGATGAACTTACTGGTCATGTTGGAGAGCACCCACAGTGTCTCCTTGACGATGTGCCTGTATGGGGAAACGAGGAACTTACTGGTCATGTTGGAGAGCACCCACAGTGTCTCCTTGACGATGTGCCTGTGTGGGGAGACGAGGAACTTACTGGTCATGTTGGAGTTACTGGTCATGTTGGAGAGCACCCACCGTGTCTCCTTGACGATGTGCCTGTGTGGGGAGACGAGGAACTTACTGGTCATGTTGGAGAGCACCCACAGTGTCTCCTTAATGATGTGTCTGTGTGGGGTGAAGAGGAACTTACTGGTCATGTTGGAGAGCACCCAAAGTGTCTCCTTGACGATGTGCCTGTGTGGGGAGACGAGGAACTTACTGGTCATGTTGGAGAGCACCCACAGTGTCTCCTTGACGATGTGCCTGTGTGGGGAGACGAGGAACTTACTGGTCATGTTGGAGTTACTGGTCATGTTGGAGAGCACCCACCGTGTCTCCTTGACGATGTGCCTGTGTGGGGAGACGAGGAACTTACTGGTCATGTTGGAGAGCACCCACAGTGTCTCCTTAATGATGTGTCTGTGTGGGGTGAAGAGGAACTTACTGGTCATGTTGGAGAGCACCCAAAGTGTCTCCTTGACGATGTGCCTGTGTGGGGAGACGAGGAACTTACTGGTCATGTTGGAGAGCACCCACAGTGTCTCCTTTACAATGTGCCTGTGTGGGGAAACGAGGAACTTACTGGTCATGTTGGAGAGCACCCACAGTGTCTCCTTGACGATGTGCCTGTATGGGGAAACGAGGAACTTCTCAAAGACAGATAGCAGGTTGGGGTTCTCCAGCGCCAGCTGAGTGTACTCGTCAGGGCCACTGCAGATGTTTCCCAGTGTCCGCAGCAGGGGGGTCATGGCCTGTAAACGAGGTGAATGTGTCATTGCCCGTAAACAAGATGAATGTGTCGTGGCCTGTAAACAACGTGAATGTGTCATGGCCTGTAAACAAGGTGCATGTGGCCTGGCCCGTAAACAGGATGATTGTGTCGTGGCCTGTAAACAAGGTGAATGTGTCATGGCCCGTAAACAAGGTGAATGTGTCATGGATTGTAAACAAGGTGAATGTGTCATGGCCCGTAAACAAGGTGAATGTGTCATGGTCCGTAAACAAGGTGAATGTGTCATGGATTGTAAACAAGGTGAATGTGTCATGGATTGTAAACAAGGTGAATGTGTCATGGATTGTAAACAAGGTGAATGTGTCATGGATTGTAAACAAGGTGAATGTGTCATGGATTGTAAACAAGGTGAATGTGTCATGGATTGTAAACAAGGTGAATGTGTCGTGGCCTGTAAACAAGGTGAATGTGTCATGGATTGTAAACAAGGTGAATGTGTCATGGATTGTAAACAAGGTGAATGTGTCATGGCCTGTAAACAAGGTGAATGTGTCGTGGCCTGTAAACAAGGTGAATGTGTCATGGATTGTAAACAAGGTGAATGTGTCATGGCCCGTAAACAAGGTGAATGTGTCGTGGCCTGTAAACAAGGTGAATGTGTCATGGCCCGTAAAAAAGGTGAATGTGTCATGGCCCGTAAACAAGGTGAATGTGTCATGGATTGTAAACAAGGTGAATGTGTCATGGATTGTAAACAAGGTGAATGTGTCATGGATTGTAAACAAGGTGAATGTGTCATGGATTGTAAACAAGGTGAATGTGTCATGGATTGTAAACAAGGTGAATGTGTCATGGCCCGTAAACAAGGTGAATGTGTTGTGGGCCCGTAAACAAGGTGAATGTGTCATGGATTGTAAACAAGGTGAATGTGTCATGGATTGTAAACAAGGTGAATGTGTCATTGCCCGTAAACAAGATGAATGTGTCGTGGCCTGTAAACAACGTGAATGTGTCATGGCCTGTAAACAAGGTGCATGTGGCCTGGCCCGTAAACAGGATGATTGTGTCGTGGCCTGTAAACAAGGTGAATGTGTCATGGCCCGTAAACAAGGTGAATGTGTCATGGATTGTAAACAAGGTGAATGTGTCATGGCCCGTAAACAAGGTGAATGTGTCATGGTCCGTAAACAAGGTGAATGTGTCATGGATTGTAAACAAGGTGAATGTGTCATGGATTGTAAACAAGGTGAATGTGTCATGGATTGTAAACAAGGTGAATGTGTCATGGATTGTAAACAAGGTGAATGTGTCATGGATTGTAAACAAGGTGAATGTGTCATGGATTGTAAACAAGGTGAATGTGTCGTGGCCTGTAAACAAGGTGAATGTGTCATGGATTGTAAACAAGGTGAATGTGTCATGGATTGTAAACAAGGTGAATGTGTCATGGCCTGTAAACAAGGTGAATGTGTCGTGGCCTGTAAACAAGGTGAATGTGTCATGGATTGTAAACAAGGTGAATGTGTCATGGCCCGTAAACACAAGGTGAATGTGTATTGGTGGCCTGTAAACAAGGTGAATGTGTCATGGCCCGTAAAAAAGGTGAATGTGTCATGGCCCGTAAACAAGGTGAATGTGTCATGGATTGTAAACAAGGTGAATGTGTCATGGATTGTAAACAAGGTGAATGTGTCATGGATTGTAAACAAGGTGAATGTGTCATGGATTGTAAACAAGGTGAATGTGTCATGGATTGTAAACAAGGTGAATGTGTCATGGCCCGTAAACAAGGTGAATGTGTTGTGGGCCCGTAAACAAGGTGAATGTGTCATGGATTGTAAACAAGGTGAATGTGTCATGGATTGTAAACAAGGTGAATGTGTCGTGGATTGTAAACAAGGTGAATGTGTCATGGCCCGTAAACAAGGTGAACGTGTCATGAATTGTAAACAAGGTGAATGTGTCATGGCCCGTAAACAAGGTGAATGTGTTGTGGGCCCGTAAACAAGGTGAATGTGTCCTGGATTGTAAACAAGGTGAATGTGTCCTGGATTGTAAACAAGGTGAATGTGTCCTGGATTGTAAACAAGGTGAATGTGTCATGGATTGTAAACAAGGTGAATGTGTCATGGCCTGTAAACAAGGTGCATGTGGCCTGGCCCGTAAACAGGATGATTGTGTCGTGGCCTGTAAACAAGGTGAATGTGTCATGGCCCGTAAACAAGGTGAACGTGTCATGAATTGTAAACAAGGTGAATGTGTCATGGCCCGTAAACAAGGTGAATGTGTTGTGGGCCCGTAAACAAGGTGAATGTGTCCTGGATTGTAAACAAGGTGAATGTGTCCTGGATTGTAAACAAGGTGAATGTGTCCTGGATTGTAAACAAGGTGAATGTGTCATGGATTGTAAACAAGGTGAATGTGTCATGGATTGTAAACAAGGTGAATGTGTCATGGATGGTAAACAAGGTGAATGTGTCATGGCCTGTAAACAAGGTGAATGTGTCATGGATTGTAAACAAGGTGAATGTGTAATGGATTGTAAACAAGGTGAATGTGTCATGGCCTGTAAACAAGGTGAATGTGTCATTGCCCGTAAACAAGGTAAACGTGTCATGGCCCGTAAACAAGGTGAATGTGTTGTGGGCCCGTAAACAAGATTAATGTGTCATGGATTGTAAACAAGGTGAATGTGTCAAGGATTGTAAACAAGGTGAATGTGTCATGGATTGTAAACAAGGTGAATGTGTCATGGCCTGTAAACAAGGTGAATGTGTCATGGATTGTAAACAAGGTGAATGTGTCATGGCCCGTAAACAAGGTGAATGTGTCATGGATTGTAAACAAGGTGAATGTGTCATGGCCCGTAAACAAGGTGAATTTGTTGTGGGCCCGTAAACAAGGTGAATGTGTCATGGATTGTAAACAAGGTGAATGTGTCATGGATTGTAAACAAGGTGAATGTGTCATGGATTGTAAACAAGGTGAATGTGTCATGGATTGTAAACAAGGTGAATGTGTCGTGGATTGTAAACAAGGTGAATGTGTCCTGGATTGTAAACAAGGTGAATGTGTCGTGGATTGTAAACCAGGTGAATGTGTTGTGGGCCCGTAAACAAGGTGAATGTGTCATGGATTGTAAACAAGGTGAATGTGTAATGGATTGTAAACAAGGTGAATGTGTCATGGCCCGTAAACAAGGTGAATGTGTCATGGATTGTAAACAAGGTGAATGTGTCAAGGATTGTAAACAAGGTGAATGTGTTGTGGATTGTAAACAAGGTGAATGTGTCATGGATTGTAAACACCTTCCTGTGCATCATGTAACAGTTTGTTGAGGTATTCCACCCACCTGTGCATCCTGACGAGGCTCATGTAACAGCTTGTTGAGATATTCCACCACCTGGACCAGACAGCCTTGGGACACAATATCTGCTGTGTGTTCTCCGCTACAAAACAGAAATGACTTTTCAAACAATTCTGATGTGGTGCAGGTTTGAACAACACTAACAAGTTTCTTTCATTGTTTCTCGAGTGTGTGAGAGCTGTAAGGAAGCTGCACTTTAAAGCATTCATCTCAATTCATCTGGTGATCTTCAGTGACGTGATCTTAAGTCAATCTGTAACTAATCTCTGTAATTACATATTTCACTACCCCTCCCAGATTACCTGTGAGCATGGACGCCTGTTTACCTGGCAGTGAGATATGTCAGCATCCACGCCAGCTCGGAGAGGAGTCTGTGGTTGTCTGTCCCCTCCTTCAGTCTCAGAGACAGGGGGTGGATGACACCACACTTCACAATCTCCCTGCAACATACATTCACATCTAGATGAAGCCAACTTTAAGTCATCCTCGATAATCTTCAGGGTATATGTTGCGATAACTCTCCGCTATACCCTGGATGCATCTATGGCTCGGCCCGATGATTTTATTACCTCCCTTGGTTGGGTTTTTATCCAATCAGTTGTCTACACTGGGAAGATGACCATACCAATCACAAATCACTTTCATTTTTAAATTTTCTAACCGAATAAACTTATCTAACCGAATAATATATTGTTGCAGATACTCTGAAAGAAGGAGTTCTTGCAAATATTTTTTAAAGGTTTCAGACCTGTCAATTTGTCTGTATGTTTTCCCCCCAAATCTGAGTCGAACTGCAAACAAACTTTAGATGCGGCGACCACTATTTTTGTTGACACTGGCAAGCTCGGTTGTAATGGCGGCATATCTGATTGGCTACTGTGAGAATGCAGAGACAGCCAAGGAAGGTAATAAAATCATCGGGCTAAGCAGTAGATGCATCCAGGGTATAGTATTATGACATAGTGTAATGGTATTCATATTGAACAATACAAACAAATATATACAAAGGTAAAAAGTATGACCAAAATTTCCAGTTGTTTTCTTCTACTTGTATGCAGAGATGTCAAGCCACTGTTCCCATGGTTACCTGGTGATGTCAGCAGATTCCCGAGCGAGGTTGGACAAGGCAAAAGCTGCACACTGCACCACATCAGGAGTTGGAGACTGTGGACCAGAAGGGCAGGTTGGTTTACACCAGTATAACTTATGGGTAAACAGTTTTTTAGTTCAGACTTTTTTGCTCTAAGTTATTTACCGATTATTGACCTTTATGATCTATTGAGAGCAAGCCCTATGTGCCTCTGTAAATGCTTTGCAGCAATTTGTATTGATTTGAACAACTAGTTAATGATATAACACAACTGTACATTGTTGAACATTTCATTGTTGGTTGTTGGTTTAACACCAATTCTTTTGTGTATAGGTATCTGGGTAAATTTGATTTAGTTTGGAAGGCGACACATAACGATATGTATCGCAACACCAAAGGTCTCACTTCATCCCTGTTAATGTATACAAGTCAGTTCTGTGCTGTAGTACTTGGCCCTTGCTTGACAAAGGTGTAAGAACCCATATGAAAGTGCTGCATCATAATAAAGACGTTGACATCCATAAAGTATCATACCTTTTCATATTATTCCTCAACTTCTAAAATGCCAATCAAACAGACTACCTGTTGGAGAACGACTACCAAGATCCCCTGAAGCTGGACAGGACATAACCTAAGATCTGCATCCATTCTGAGGTCCCGTGAGGACACGACACGACCTAAGATCTGCATCCATTCTGAGGTGACGTGAAGAGGATACAGTATACTACTTGTGGTGAGCGCTGCACCACTTACTTAACACTGGGTGTTCCAGTAACAAATACAACATTACTTCATGACACGTCTTATGGATAACAAGCTCTTTTCATTCTTTATACAAAGTTTCAGAGCTAAATGTTGCTCCTTCATTAGGTGAACTGATCCATAAACTGTGCCGTATTCGTGTTCATCCAACGTCTTATGCCTTTCAGGAACTTCAAACACAACGTTAACTCTCAAGAGCCACCATTCTCTCTTCCTAGCTTGAGAACCAATCCGTGTTTCAGTTTTTACTGATGGACCAGTTGAAATACTTGATTTATGGATCTTTCAATCGGTCTTCAGTTATTTTCCTTACAAACTCTAGAAATCAAATTTACCCTACTCACTCACAAGGGACATTATGCCCAGAGGAGACTACTCTGTAGCAGAAATCACTCAGTTGTAATGTAAAGGGTTTCTCAGTTTCACATTGGAGAGACATTGTGAATTGTCACTGATTCATAATGAAAACTCAGATCCACCTATCACATACAGCCACCACCCACCTCTATGAGCTTGACCAGCGGTAGTACACATCCCTGTGCCTGGAGGATCTCCCTGATCTGCTTGCTGTCCCCAGCCAGGTTCCCCAAAGCCCAAGCACACTGGTCCTGCAACCAGCCAGTTACTGCAGAGTCAACAACATTCTAGCCAGTTCGCCTTACCTAACTGACTGTATAGCAACCAGTGGTTAATTGCATGAGCCACAATCCAAGTGATCAGGTGTGATGTCACCCAGTCCACAAAATGTAGGAATATAATTATTAACTAACATGACTTCAGAGTGAATCATTATTAGAGCATCCTGTCTTATAAGATCTTGAAATGTTTTTGTGATAACAGGCATGTCACTGTAGCTATAGGCTCAGATTGTAGCTACTGCGTCAAATCTCAATGGTTGGTATCTCTGTAGCAATACCTGCTTAGGTAGGTGGTGATGACATGTTTAAATTCTGTGCTGGTTGAAACTGAGAACAAACATATGACCATATTATTCCTCTAATATTCACCTACATGTACATGAATGTTGAACAAAGAAAATAAACCAAAATGTTTGTGCATGGAAGATGCAGTCTGTTGCTATGCAACCTGCAAATGGCTGCCAAGTCTTACAGTCAGGAGATGGTTGCTGCTGCCCAGGTAGGTGATGAGATATGGTGCAGCTGTTTTGGTGACAGCCATGGCGTGATCATGCGTGCCGGCAGCGATGTTGGTGAGACACCAGGCGGACTCGAGTTGGAGGTCAGCATCACTTCCTGTCAGGAGCCCTACCAGACACTGTAGGGAGTTCTCTATCCTGGAACATACAAGCAGTATTAGTACTGATGTCTGAGACCCACCAGACACTGTAGGGAGTTCTCTATTCCGGAACATACAAGCAGTGTTAGTACTGATGTCTGAGACCCACCAGACACTGTAGGGAGTTCTCTATCCTGGAACATACAAGCAGTATTAGTACTGATGTCTGAGACCCACCAGACACTGTAGGGAGTTCTCTATCCCGGAACATACCAGCAGTACTAGTACTGATGTCTGAGACCTACCAGACACTGTAGGGAGTTCTCTATTCCGGAACTTTCAAGCAGTGTTAGTACTGATGTCTGAGACCCACCAGACACTGTAGGGAGTTCTCTATCCCGGAACATACAAGCAGTATTAGTACTGATGTCTGAGACCCACCAGACACTGTAGGGAGTTCTCTATCCCGGAACATACAAGCAGTATTAGTACTGATGTCTGAGACCTACCAGACACTGTAGGGAGTTCTCTATCCTAGAACATACAAGCAGTATTAGTACTGATGACTGAGACCCACCAGACACTGTAGGGAGTTCTCTATCCCGGAACATACCAGCAGTACTAGTACTGATGTCTGAGACCTACCAGACACTGTAGGGAGTTCTCTATCCTGGAACATACAAGCAGTATTAGTACTGATGTCTGAGACCTACCAGACACTGTAGGGAGTTCTCTATCCCGGAACATACAAGCAGTATTAGTACTGATGTCTGAGACCCATCAGACACTGTAGGGAGTTCTCTATCCTGGAACATACAAGCAGTATTAGTACTGATGTCTGAGACCCACCAGACACTGTAGGGAGTTCTCTATCCCGGAACATACAAGCAGTATTAGTACTGATGTCTGAGACCCATCAGACACTGTAGGGAGTTCTCTATCCTGGAACATACAAGCAGTATTAGTACTGATGTCTGAGACCTACCAGACACTGTAGGGAGTTCTCTATCCCGGAACATACAAGCAGTATTAGTACTGATGTCTGAGACCCATCAGACACTGTAGGGAGTTCTCTATCCTGGAACATACAAGCAGTATTAGTACTGATGTCTGAGACCCATCAGACACTGTAGGGAGTTCTCTATCCCGGAACATACAAGCAGTATTAGTACTGATGTCTGAGACCCACCAGACACTGTAGGGAGTTCTCTATTCAGAAACATACAATCAGTGTTAGTACTGATGACTGAGACCCACCAGACACTGTAGGGAGTTCTCTATCCCGGAACATACAAGCAGTATTAGTACTGATGTGTGAGACCCACCAGACACTGTAGGGAGTTCTCTATCCTGGAACATACAAGCAGTATTAGTACTGATGTCTGAGACCCACCAGACACTGTAGGGAGTTCTCTATCCTGGAACAGTGAGGCAGTATTAGTACTGATGTCTGAGACCCACCAGACACTGTAGGGAGTTCTCTATCCTGGAACATACAAGCAGTATTAGTACTGATGTCTGAGAGCCACTAGACACTGTAGGGAGTTCTCTATCCTGGAACATACAAGCAGTATTAGTACTGATGTCTGAGACCCACCAGACACTGTAGGGAGTTCTCTATCCTGGAACATACAAGCAGTATTAGTACTGATGTCTGAGACCCACCAGGCACTGTAGGGAGTTCTCTATCCTGGAACATACAAGCAGTATTAGTACTGATGTCTGAGACCCACCAGACACTGTAGGGAGTTCTCTATCCCGGAACATACAAACAGTATTAGTACTGATGTCTGAGACCCACCAGACACTGTAGGGAGTTCTCTATCCTGGAACATACAAGCAGTATTAGTACTGATGTCTGAGACCCACCAGGCACTGTAGGGAGTTCTCTATCCTGGAACATACAAGCAGTATTAGTACTGATGTCTGAGACCCATCAGACACTGTAGGGAGTTCTCTATCCCGGAACATACAAGCAGTATTAGTACTGATGTCTGAGACCCACCAGACACTGTAGGGAGTTCTCTATCCTGGACCATACCAGCAGTATTAGTACTGATGTCTGAGACCTACCAGACACTGTAGGGAGTTCTCTATCCTAGAACATACAAGCAGTATTAGTACTGATGTCTGAGACCCACCAGGCACTGTAGGGAGTTCTCTATCCCGGAACATACAAGCAGTATTAGTACTGATGTCTGAGACCTACCAGACACTGTAGGGAGTTCTCTATCCTAGAACATACAAGCAGTATTAGTACTGATGTCTGAGACCCACCAGGCACTGTAGGGAGTTCTCTATCCCGGAACATACAAGCAGTATTAGTACTGATGTCTGAGACCTACCAGACACTGTAGGGAGTTCTCTATCCTAGAACATACAAGCAGTATTAGTACTGATGTCTGAGACCCACCAGACACTGTAGGGAGTTCTCTATCACGGAACATACAAGCAGTATTAGTACTTATAAGTACAATGTCTAGGAGTGGTGGGCAGCTACTTTAGGTGTTATGTCGTTCACATAAGGCTTGTAGTGAACTTGTAGTAGTGAATGTGTGGAGGGTATAGGTAAACATAGATAAAACACAGGATCACCTGGGGTGCCTCCAGTAATTTAGGGGCAGAGGTCAGTGTTTCTACATATTTACCCGAGAAACACATCAATGTATGCTGATCCCTGAGCAAAGGACCTCCGGAGGGTCTGCAGACTCCTGTGTCGATTATCCCCTTTCTTCTGGAGGTCCTTCGTGGCCTCAATCACCTGGCACAGAAGAGAGAAGACTGAGAAACTCCAAAATAATTGAGTGGTAAAACATGTTAACTCATTAAACCCGAGAGACGCATATATGGGGCAAATTAATCAGCTCCTCACAGCGAGTGACGTGTTTATGAGGCATGTAATTGGCAGTTTCTCACAGCGAGAGCCACATATATTCGTCAACAGAAAGCACCTCTTATTCAGCTCCCTGGGAGTATACATGTGTGTCGTACTTTTAAAAATTGCACTGTACCTATTGTTTCAACCAATTAGTAGTACTGAGCAAATATTAGCTTTTCTTACAAGAGAATTGACCTTTAGTGTCAATCAGAAGAAGTATTTAAAGTATTTTGATAGCAATTGCTAATCATTATCACAGGCTTATACAGCGTTTGGCAAATGAACACATGTCGGCGAGAAAGGGGATCATGATGTTTATACACAGGTAAGTGTCTGGACCTCTTCATTGGGAATGGGTACTAAACTACTTCTTATGCACATTGATTGAATTAGATGTAATGGTTTAGAGGTTACTGAAGATAATATTTTCTTCAACTTCCTAATAAATAGGAAACAATATACAAAATTCAAACACAATATAATAGTTTGAATTTACTTTTTAGGTATTATTACGTTGTCATGTTTCATATAATGAAACATAATGTATAAACACAAATAATTATACATCCAAGCTCGAATAGATTAGACATAATTTAACTTACTAATTTAAAGTTTACTGAATTGTAACTAGTTATTTTCCATAATCTAAAGTTGATAATGTTACCTAATCGAATATAAAGTCATAACTCGCGCCTTTGCATTGAATATATATACATGTCAGTGTTATAACAACAATGAAATGTTTTACTACGTTTGTTACAAAACACAGTTAAAAATTCTTACACATAGACAGAAGTAATATCATAAGTTATTACATGTAAACCATACAAACGTATTTCAAGCATTGTTGTTCAAGCTGTTGAAAGTTGCATGTTGATTTGAATGGTCAGTTTTCTATGTAATTTACATGAGCATTGTGTAAAACATTTGTATTTGATCTCAGTAATTATCACATCCGGTGTAATTATCACGTGTATCTGTATCAATGAACTCAGTCTCTATTGATCCATCGTCAATAAAAGCTGGATAGTATATCAGTTACGGTATCGATACACATGGCGTATAATCATTCAATCAGATAACAGTAATGAGATAATTGAACACCTCTTTCGACCTTGAAATAATGGTTAGGTCTCTGAATGCCTACAGTGACAAATGCCTACAGGCAATAATGGGGTCCTCCCATTACGCAGACAGCCAGTTCGCAGACACCTTAAAACAACAACATTTACGGTTCAGTGAACAGATTATCTACTACCTGATACCTACAAATTATAATGGAATAGTCCAAATAAAAACACAGGAACAAACTGAAGCTATATTATTTATTTTAAAAGATCGAAGAAAATACAGTAATTTGAATTTTTATTGCTGCAATATAAAAACAGTTTATTTTTATAAACATTTCGGTTTAACCTTCTAGTCTAACAGGAGTTGGCATCATCATATTGAAAACATTGCTTAGCTATTAGAAATTGCGACACTGTTCTATCATATAAATCAAATAAAGAGAAATGTGAACCTAAATATTATTCATATGGAATAAAGACTGACTGACTGACTGAGTTTGGTTTTACGCCGCTTTTAGCAATATTCCAGATACATCACGGCGGGGAACACCAGAAATGGGCTTCACACATTGTACCCATGTGGGGATTCGAACCCGGGTCTTAGGTATGACGAGTCAACGCTTTAACCACTAGGCTACCCCACCGCCCCAATGGAATAAAGAAGTTATATGTATAGTTATATGTTATATTGTATCCTACATGGCAATGCAGGTGTCTCATTTACTGCAAATCAGAATGTTTTCAAATATGTACATATCTCTATCTCTCCAACAAAACGTTTTCTCAGTTAACTTCTGTTGTACATATGCTATTATTGGGAGGGGTCTTTTCTATCAATAAACACAATCAAACCTCTCAGTGACAAACCTGTTTTTATATTTAAAAGTAATTGATAGTAAAATCAATTTTGAGAAGAGAAATCATTTATCATTTAATCACAACAAAGTTCTATTTACCCACAATCAAACTTCTCAGTAACGAACCTGTTTCAGGCTCACCCTGCTCTACTCACTAGACAGTGGGCTGCTCCATTATACCCGTAGGTGTTACCCTAATTAACATTCTAGTTCAGTGTCTGTCAATTGGGTGTCTGTCAAATGGGTGTCTGTCAATTGGGAGATAACCGCAATAATAGCTATTGAGTATGTTGTTTTAGGTGAGCAGCAGTGATATGCTTCCCTGCACACAAGTGGTCACTTCCACCCTAATGAGTTTAACCTGTTTACACTATGAAAACGTCCTAGAGATTATCTGATCATATCAGCACAAGCAGTGCCTTATGTATCCTGTTTGCTTGTTTTCAATACAATTTGTCTATCTTTCTCAACAGGAACTACAGATGTACAAGCAAGGCTCCCTTGGACTTTCTGTGCTGTTGGTCGACTAGTGAAGATGGAGTAAAACAAATTCTCAGACTTTTTTGCCAGTCAAAATATGCATAAGATGATGTAAAGATATTTGACCCTGTCAGATGTAAAGATATGAATTCAATTATTGTTCCATTTCACAAATATATGAAAACCCCCAACATTTTTTTCATTGTGTAGGCATTTGTCCACCTTGCCTGTTGGAATGTTCCATTTATGTAATGGGGAGAAGATACTGCTGCTTGAAATCACTGGTGCATTACTTTGTTTATTCTACACTGTAGGCATTTGTCACTGTAGGCATTTTGGAGACTACGCCGAAATAACAGCCTGTGGTAGAAGGCATATGTAGTTACGTCCTTGTTGAAAGGTTTGTCCCATGACAAGTGTAAAAGAAACAGATGCGCTGTTATATCATTGGACAATTTGCTTTGTGGAGTCACGCCCCTCTCTGTAATATTTATGCATGCATGCACATCTGTAATTTTAGGAACCTCGTTTGCTTTCAGTATAAATATAGGCACGCCCATCTTCATAAATATTGGGGGGGTGGGGGTGGTTGGGTGTTCAACTGCAAGTTTATACACTATAATAATTCAGTATAGTATCACTTCGTGAATTCTGTAATACATGTACTTTAGTTTGGATATTGATTTGTATCAAGGTGAAGATTATATTTACACGTACAGCAAACCATTATGTTTTATGTACTAGTTGTGTGTGTAAAATGTATATGAAAATAAATACTATCTCTACTCAATGGTTGGATTTCAATGGCTTTGTTTTACTTATTGAAAAACACTAAAATGTGTTTTCGATCTCTGAGGACAAATAAACTCGCCAAACTTCCTATCTACTCCTGTCCTATGTGTATATTTCATACATCGTTACCAGTGTGTATGTTTACAATACACAAACTGCTACATCATAGCTTGAGTTGATAAAGCCGAAACCCAGCATATCAACTGGTCAGCGATGTAGACAATAATCAATCTCTATCCAAGCTGTTGAGTGACCAAACATGCTCTTCAGAAATTTCGCCCACGCCCCATCACCTGTCCTTTCCTCTGTGACAGGTATCTCATGATATGATTGGTCACAGATAACAAATGACCAGCCACTATATTGAACAGTTGAGATACCGAACGTTCTATTCGGGAAATTTGAGGACGCCCTATCACGTAACTCTTTGTTTTATGTCTATGCAAGGAATATGTAGTATACATTTTTTTATGTATGTTTGTATGGTCACGTATGTTTTCTGCATCAAATCTAGATGAAACAAAGTGCCAAGCTATGAATGTGCTCTATGTTACTTTCCTTAAAATAATCCGTATACACTAGAAATGTATCGGCAAAAACGCTATTTCGCCAAAGATTATAAAGTATGTAAGTAAATTCTTCTTTACAGTATGTCATTGTCATAGATGTTTTGTAAAATTAAACCCACACACTGATATGAGAGAGAATTTGTTTATGTGTGTCTCATCTCTTACATACAAACAATACATGCATGTTGTGATAGAATATACATGTACAAGCCGCCAAATGTCTACAAGAGAAACTTGCAATAATATTACATAAAACGTTGCAATACATGATATGTATTCAAACCTGCTTTCTTTCAACATATATCTTTATGACACAATTAAACAATCAGGACAGTTTCCTGTCATCCCCGAAACCTGCCAGGGAAAGCAGGTGTGATTAGCACTAATTAGTCTCGCCACAGGGAGCTGGGCAATCAGAGAGGGTTTCCAGGTGTTGAGTAGTGAAGTGGCTCTCGGGCTTAATGAGTTATCAGCTGATAGATATTGTTTAAATCAATGAATTGAGTGAATTTATACGTTGTAGATACATGTATATCATACACAACTTTATCTAGGATGCTTAACTATATATTCTTGACAGGCTAATGAAGAAAGAAATATTTTGTACAAAACTGGGATGATTTTAAGTCCACAAATTCCTACATTTGGATGCTTTACACCACTGCATCTTATACTTCTATTGTTGGGTTCTGATGTCACCTCAGCAAAGCCTTACCATCAAACATAACAATATTAACATGTAATCCTAAATATAACGTGTTACATTTGATCACTTTCTAAATGGCATTGTGCATTCAATTTCATTGTATAAACATCATTCACACCACAATGGAAAAATCTTAATTTTGAGCATATATTTCTTAGGAGCAAATCCTGCAGACATGTCGATGCATATCAACCTGTCAGCAGATCAAGGAAAACCCTAACAATAACAGTACGTCTTCGAGTCTGTAGATGATGTCAATGAATAAATATTGCTTAATGCTGCATCAGCATTTTGCAGCTATTTTGCAGCAACTTGATGAAACATGAAAATGTTTCAAAACAGGAACTCCTTTGTGATCATTTCAAAGATGAAATATAACATCACCATAATTATTCAAGGGTTATATTCTTCCCCACACGACTGGTCTTCAATGACGTACCTGTTCATTGGAGATTTCTGGATATTCTGCAGAACATCGACGGAATCGCTTGGAATTCAGCAACTGCTGTCTTTTGTCTTTTCTCACCACTGTAACACAACATGGAAGAGGTAAAGTGCAGGTACAGATCGGGAACTACCACAGCAATCACTTGTTAACACAACATGGAAGAGGTAAAGTGCAGGCACAGATTGGGAACTACCACAGCAATCACTTGTTAACACAACATGGAGGAGGTAAAGTGCAGGTACAGATCGGGAACTACCACAGCAATCACTTGTTAACACAACATGGAGGAGGTAAAGTGCAGGTACAGATCGGGAACTACCACAGCAATCACTTGTTAACACAACATGGAGGAGGTAAAGTGCAGGTAACTACCACAGCAGATCAGGAGGACCACTACCACAGCAATCACTTGTTAACACAACATGGAGGAGGTAAAGTGCAGGTACAGATCAGGAACTACCACAGCAATCACTTGTTAACACAACATGGAGGAGGTAAAGTGCAGGTACAGATCAGGGAACTACCACAGCAATCACTTGTTAACACAACATGGAGGAGGTAAAGTGCAGGTACAGATCAGGAACTACCACAGCAATCACTTGTTAACACAACATGGAGGAGGTAAAGTGCAGGTACAGATCGGGGGAACTACCACAGCAATCACCACCACAGCAATCACTTGTTAACACAACATGGAGGAGGTAAAGTGCAGGTACAGATCAGGAACTACCACAATCACTTGCACATCATGGAGGAGGTAAAGTGCAGGTACAGATCGGAACTACCACAGCAATCACTTAACACAACATGGAGGAGGTAAAGTGCAGGTACAGATCGGGAACCACCACAGCAATCACTTGTTAACACAACATGGAGGAGGTAAAGTGCAGGTACAGGGGAACTACAGCAATCACTTGTTAACACAACAACTACCACAGCAATCACTTGTTAACACAACATGGAGGAGGTAAAGTGCAGGTACAGATCGGGAACTACCACAGCAATCACTTGGACCACAGCAATCACTTGTTAACACAACATGGAGGAGGTAAAGTGCAGGTACAGATCGGGAACTACCACAGCAATCACTTGTTAACACAACATGGAGGAGGTAAAGTGCAGGTACAGATCGGGAACTACCACAGCAATCACTTGTTAACACAACATGGAGGAGGTAAAGTGCAGGTACAGATCGGGAACCACCACAGCAATCACTTGTTAACACAACATGGAGGAGGTAAAGTGCAGGTACAGATCGAACTACCACACAGCAATCACTTGTTAACACAACATGGAGGAGGTAAAGTGCAGGTACAGATCAGGAACTACCACAGCAATCACTTGTTAACACAACATGGAGGAGGTAAAGTGCAGGTACAGATCAGGAACTACCACAGCAATCACTTGTTAACACAACATGGAGGAGGTAAAGTGCAGGTACAGATCGGGAACTACCACAGCAATCACTTGTTAACACAACATTGTTAACAGCAATCACTTGTTAACACAACATGGAGGAGGTAAAGTGCAGGTACAGATCGGGAACTACCACAGCAATCACTTGTTAACACAACATGGAGGAGGTAAAGTGCAGGTACAGATCAGGAACTACCACAGCAATCACTTGTTAACACAACATGGAGGAGGTAAAGTGCAGGTACAGATCGGGAACCACCACAGCAATCAGTTGTTAACACAACATGGAGGAGGTAAAGTGCAGGTACAGATCGGGAACCACCAGGGCAATCAGTTGTTAACACAACATGGAGGATGTAAAGTGCAGGCACAGATCGGGAACCACCACAGCAATCAGTTGTTAACACAACATGGAGGATGTAAAGTGTAGGCACAGATCGGGAACCACCACAGCAATCAGTTAAAGCGCTACAATATCAAGAACATACAAGTTTCAAGGGGGCACTATGGTTTGAACCCGGCAGTCTAACACTGTCACGTCAATCTCATTAGCTGCACTCAAGTAATTCCCGGTGTGGATAGGCTGATGTGTGGATAGGCCGATGTGTGGATAGGCTGATGTGTGGATAGGCTGATGTGTGGATAGAACTATGTGTGAGGATAGGCCGATGTGTGGATAGACTGATGTGTGGATAGACTGATGGACTGATGTGTGGATAGACCGATGTGTGGATAGACTGATGTGTGGATAGACTGATTTGTGGATAAGCTGATGTGTGGATAGACTGATGTGTGGACAGACTGATGGACTGATGTGTGGATAGACTGATGTGTGGATAAGCTGATGTGTGGATAGGCTGACGTGTGGATAGACTGATGTGTGGACAGACCGATGTGTGGATAGGCTGATGTGTGGATAGACGGATGTGTGGATAGGCTGATGTGTGGATAGGCTGATGTGTGGATAGACTATTGTGTGGATAGGCTGATGTGTGGATAGACTATTGTGTGGATAGACTGATGTGTGGATAGACCGATGTGTGGATAGACGGATGTGTGGATAAGCTGATGTGTGGATAGGCTGATGTGTGGACAGACTGATGTGTGGATAGACTGATGTGTGGATAGACTGATGTGTGGATAAGCTGATGTGTGGATAGGCTGATGTGTGGATAGACTGATGTGTGGATAGACGGATGTGTGGATAGGCGGATGTGTGGATAGGCGGATGTGTGGATAGGCGGATAGGCGGATAGGCGATGTGTGGATAGGCCGATGTGTGGATAGGCTGATGTGTGGATAGACTGATGTGTGGATAGGCTGATGTGTGGATAGGCTGATGTGTGGATAGGCTGATGTGTGGATAGACCGATGTGTGGATAGACCGATGTGTGGATAGACCGATGTGTGGATAGACTGATGTGTGGATAGGCTGATGACAGATTGTTTTTGAACCAAGTTTGATGTTCTATACCTTGAAACTTAATCATGCCATGAAATCATTCACGTCAAATTTACCAGTTGTATTAAACACAAATATTTTATTTATTTGAAGCTGAATCAATACATTCTACTATTGCTATAACTTAAAATTCTACTGAGGTAAATTAACATGTACAGTAACGAGCAGAAAAAATGCGACTTTTCACAGACATAGTTTCAAAATATATTTACTGATAAATTCAGTTATATTTTTCATACATCCACTCCGGATACTGAAGTTTACATTTATGCAAGTCAATAGTCCACCGTTTCTCTCCATGCACTGCTGAATACGGCGTCCCATGCTGTCAATCAAATTGTCTATGTAGTCCTGGGGTAGGCCCACCCATATTTGACTGATGAGATTAGACCACTCAACGACACTCTTCGGTTCCAACTTTTCTAATTTGTCCTTCATAATCTGCCACACATTTTCAATTGGGTTCAGGTCTGGTGATGCCGCTGGAAATTTCTGTAAGGTCATGTGACTCGTTTCAAACCAGTTACAGGTGTGTCTTGACTTGTGTACAGGTGCATTGTCCTGTAAAGGTTTTAAAGGTATTCCTCACTGTCCTATATGGGATTCCACTATGCCTTCTTGTATAAGTTGACAGTACTTGCGTGAATCCATCCTTCCTGTAATAGTTAGCAGGGGCGTTACCCCAAGTTTGCCTATACCACCCCAAACCATGACACTGTGTGAGAACTTCGGAACCATTTTGCAGCTACATTCACCTCTTGACCACCTCTTTCTTGTGATCCCATAAAACTGAAACTTTGATTCGTCCATAAAAATCACATTTGAAAAGTCTGTACCCTGCATTTCCCTGCACCACTCGAGCCTTTTCTCCATATGTGCTGTTGTCATCAATGGAACTTTCTTCGGCACTTGCTTGACATATCCAGATTGCTTTAAAGATCTGATTGTCCATTCTGATACCTTAGGGGTTCCTTGACTTGATGCCTTCACGGCAAGCTGTTTTGCAGACCAGTTTGGGTACGCTGCCAAATGCGTACCCAAACGTCCCGATCCAGCCTGTCGCTCTGTCCCTAACCCTGCGTCAAATTTCGGTAAACAGAGGCCTGATGCAGTCCCGTCAGTTTCACAAGTCTAGTTACGGATGTAATACCTGCTTCATAATATGTCAAGAGTCGATTTCTGTTGTTTTGTATACGTCATGGCAAAGCTTCGGTATCGTCTGCTAGCAACGAGATCACGTGATCAAGCCATCCCTGAACCCAAGGGAGATAATTCCATACCAACGAGGCAAGCTACTGGCGGCTAGAAACGATGTATTTAGGCTTTTTTGATAGTAGGATCGAGTCTACAGAATTAAGGTTTTTTTCGCATTTTTTCTGCTCGTTACTATATATACAATGTTAGTAACGTTAACACACAACACGTTACATGTTCTTTCGGGTGGCCAATGAGACTTCAAGCCAATGTGAAAACTCTGAAACAAAGTTATTTGACCAGTTGAGAAACTTTCATGAGGTATGATATCCTGTAATGTCATGTACATTATACACCAGGCATGTGACATGAACCGTTTGTCTGTCACCAGATGGATGCAATATTGTTATGTGAAGGTGGATATTGATGGAGACATTCCTTGAACAAGGAAGCTGCCTCATAATACTCAACTTATGTCAGTTGTAATTTATGATATGTGCATTTTGTTTTCTTTCTTTCTTTTGTTGCAGCATTGTGATGGGTTTTTTTTATGGAGAAGCATGTACAATGTGAATGACCCCCTAAATTTGATGTACAAAGCAAGTGACACCCCCCACCCCGCATGTCATGTACAAATTCAATGACAACCCCCCTTTTAATTTTGTAAGCATAATGTAGTAAAAACATTTTGTACAAATTGATGATCCCCTCCCTCTACAGAATGGGTGCTACCCCCCCTCCCCATCAAAATCATCATCCACCTAGCTATAAATCATTAATGGACCCTTAGAAACTGTATTTCACCGTTCTTAGCCAAAAAAAGTTATTGCGCCACATATTTTCCAAACTGTCTTTTTTGCCCATATTTTGTCTACACTGCTGAAATTACTATTTACTATATACAAGGAAGTAAGTATAAAGGAGCCCTAGCAAGTCTATCCCACGCACTCGTAAACAACTCCCCGCCATGGACTATGTTCGTCTTCATGCATGCAGATATCTCACGATTGGCAACCTGTGCATTTATGCAGAAAGATCTCAAACAAACAACAATGCATTTTTCCCCACCATTGTCCTCGTGTCGTCTCCTGTTTCGAATGGATTCCACACTTTCAGCTGCATGTTTATATTTATCTTTTCGTTCCATTATTGAGGCCGGAAATAGACTGATCTAAAACGTGGAATAGAAATGTGGAAAGATGAACGGGAAATGCGAAAATGAAATTAATTTGAATCCAATCTGTATAACGAATATTTAGGGTTTGGTGGTAAATTTATTTATTTATCTCGTCCAGTGACCTGAAAATTGACCATAAATTGGTTTTGATGTGGACAGATGATCGAGATGAGTGAAAGACGTTATGACAAGAAAGGACTGTCTTGTGTTGATAGCTCTTTTGTTGATCTTTTTTCACAATCTTACTTTGAAAACTAAATGACGCAGACTAAAAATGCCGGAGCAACATTTCTCGAGATTGAAATGTTTTATTATCAGATAAATATATCATATGTCATGAAATATATATATATATATATATAAACGTTCACCAAAAATAAACAATAGAACTTGTAAACAATATTTATACAAAAAACGGGTGAATTATTTTCTTTTGTCGATTTCCCAAGAAAACAAATACACAGCCAGACATGGTAGCTGATGATCGGTAGTCGACACTTCGCGTTGAATGTATCACGCAGGAGGAATGTTCTGATAGGGGTCCAGACAATTCCCCACACAGACAATTCCCCACGCAGACATTTCCCCACACAGACAATTCCCAACTCGGACAATTCCCCACACAGACATTTCCACACACAGACAATTCCCCACACAGACAATTCCCAACTCGAACAATTCCCCACAGGACAATTCCCCACAGGACAATTCCCCACAGAACAATTCCACACACAGACAATTCCCAACTCGGACAATTCCCCACACAGACAATTCCCCACAGGACAATTCCCCACAGGACAATTCCCCACACAGACAATTCCCCACAGAACAATTCCACACACAGACAATTCCCAACTCGGACAATTCCCCACACAGACAATTCCCCACAGGACAATTCTCCACACAGACAATTCCCCACACAGACAATTCCCCACAGAACAATTCCCCACACAGACAATTCCCAACTCGGACAATTCCCCACACAGACAATTCCCCACAGGACAATTCTCCACACAGACAATTCCCCACACAGACAATTCCCCACAGAACAATTCCCCACACAGACAATTCCCAACTCGGACAATTCCCCACACAGACAATTCCCCACAGGACAATTCACCACACAGACAATTCTCCACACAGACAATTCCCCACACAGACAATTCCCCACACAGACATTTCCCCACACAGACAATTCCCAACTCGGACAATTCCCCACACAGACATTTCCACACACAGACAATTCCCCACACAGACAATTCCCAACTCGAACAATTCCCCACAGGACAATTCCCCACAGAACAATTCCACACACAGACAATTCCCAACTCGGACAATTCCCCACACAGACAATTCCCCACAGGACAATTCCCCACAGGACAATTCCCCACACAGACAATTCCCCACAGGACAATTCACCACACAGACAATTCTCCACACAGACAATTCCCCACACAGACAATTCCCCACACAGACATTTCCCCACACAGACAATTCCCAACTCGGACAATTCCCCACACAGACATTTCCACACACAGACAATTCCCCACACAGACAATTCCCAACTCGAACAATTCCCCACAGGACAATTCCCCACAGGACAATTCCCCACACAGACAATTCCCCACAGAACAATTCCACACACAGACAATTCCCAACTCGGACAATTCCCCACACAGACAATTCCCCACAGGACAATTCCCCACAGGACAATTCCCCACACAGACAATTCCCCACAGAACAATTCCACACACAGACAATTCCCAACTCGGACAATTCCCCACACAGACAATTCCCCACAGGACAATTCTCCACACAGACAATTCCCCACACAGACAATTCCCCACAGAACAATTCCCCACACAGACAATTCCCAACTCGGACAATTCCCCACACAGACAATTCCCCACAGGACAATTCTCCACACAGACAATTCCCCACACAGACAATTCCCCACAGAACAATTCCCCACACAGACAATTCCCAACTCGGACAATTCCCCACACAGACAATTCCCCACAGGACAATTCACCACACAGACAATTCTCCACACAGACAATTCCCCACACAGACAATTCCCCACACAGACATTTCCCCACACAGACAATTCCCAACTCGGACAATTCCCCACACAGACATTTCCACACACAGACAATTCCCCACGAAGACAATTCCCAACTCGAACAATTCCCCACACAGACAATTCCCCACAGGACAATTCTCCACTCGGACAATTCCCCACACAGACAATTCCCCACAGGACAATTCTCCACACAGACAATTCCCCACAGGACAATTCCCCACAGGACAATTCCCCACACAGACAATTCCCCACAGAACAATTCCCCACAGGACAGTTCCCCACACAGACAATTCCCCACACAGGACAATTCCCCACAGGACAGTTCCCCACACAGGACAATTCCCCACAGAACAATTCCCCACACAGACAATTCCCAACTCGGACAATTCCCCACACAGACAATTCCCCACAGGACAATTCTCCACACAGACAGTTCCCCACACAGACAATTCCCCACAGAACAATTCCCCACACAGACAATTCCCAACTCGGACAATTCCCCACACAGACAATTCCCCACAGGACAGTTCCCCACACAGGACAATTCCCCACACAGGACAGTTCCCCACACAGACAATTCCCCGCACAGGACAATTCCCCACAGGACAGTTCCCCACACAGGACAATTCCCCACACAGGACAGTTCCCCACAGGACAGTTCCCCACACAGGACAGTTCCCCACAGGACAGTTCCCCACACAGGACAGTTCCCCACACAGGACAATTCTCCACACAGACAATTCCCCACACAGGACAATTCCCCACAGGACAATTCCACACACAGACAATTCCCCACAGGACAGTTCCCCACACAGACAATTCCCCACACAGACAATTCCCCACAGGACAATTCCACACACAGACAATTCCCCACAGGACAATTCCCCACACAGACAATTCCCCACACAGACAGTTCCACACACAGACAATTCCCCACAGGACAGTTCCCCACAGGACAATTCCCAACTCGGACAATTCCCCACACAGACAATTCCCCGCAGGAGAATTCCCAACTCGGACAATTCCCCACACAGACAATTCCCCACAGGAGAATTCCCAACTCGGACAATTCCCCACGCAGACAATTCCCCATGTAGACAATTCCAAACAAGACAAGTCCTCACCAAGCAAAAAGTATAAATAACAAAAGTGATATTTGCTATTGGGATTTAAATAAAAAAGCCTTCTCGCCTCTCCTCATTTCCCTCAACTTATAGGTTATAATTGTTCAATAAACATCCAAAATATCATCATCCTAACAGAGATGACATTATCCCTTTAATCTCAGTTAAATTCAGTAGTGTGTTAAACTGTTAGATAAACATTTGAAATATCGTCACCTAACTACTATTTTACTACTGTCACCAGCGGCTGAGGGGATGGTAAAATCCAGCTAGGGTCCATGCAGGTAGCAAAGGCACTGTAAGTCCCCATGGTCCCTAGTATAGTGTAGGCAAACAAGCCTAAATGGCTTATATTAATGCGGCTCCATAATACAGATAAACATTTATGCGTAATGTTGTACATATAGTTGCAGTTATAACAAGTTGTCTCTGAATAATAACACTGTTGGATATCAACAATTTATAATAGTTTTGTTTCGTGGCGAGTTGATTCAAATAGGAAAATGATAGAAACTACAAAACCTTTATGAATGAAATCGTTTTGATAAATTATAATGATGAATTGATGTATTGGCTGTAGAATATCCATATTCGTCTGATGTGATACTGAGTTAGTCCCATTTAGCACATCCGTAGGGAGAAACCTTTCACATAGGTGTGGGGAATTGTCACTCAGGTCATGGGAATTGTCTGGTGGGGAAATGTCATGTGGGGAAATGTCTGTGTGGGGAATTGTCCTACACCCGTTCTGATAAGAAGCAACGCACAAATCCAATATGGCCGCCACGTGGAAACAGTGTATAACAAATGCTTCGGTGATGTTAACCTCTTTAACACCCAAGTGTTGTTGTTCACTGTCAGCGACTCGGCCTCTGTATCTACGTCAGGCACCGTTTGGCTGGTTCACTGTTTGATTTCATCCCTCTTACAACCAACACAAAAACTCTGCGGAAAGTCATCGAGGTAACAGTGTCGGAAAGTCATCAAGGTAACAGTGTCTGCTGATGACTGCGCCCTGTTGGCCCACCAGGACAATCACCTTCAGAGTAGTGTCAGCAAATATTGTCAGACGCTTCCAGCCTGAATTACGAAATTCTTCGCAAGCCTGCAACCTGCACGAAACCTGGACACTCTACCACAAACACAAGACAGCTAGCTGGAGCTTTTCCACATGTGATCCCATGGCCAACTCATACAGTGTCTGTAGTCAGGAAATCTTTGACAGAGCGAACACCACAGACATTGAGGCCAAGCTGTTTCAGGCCCAGCTACCCTGGGCTGGCCATAGATGGGCCCAGAATCCCAGACAGCTATTTCACGTCTGGCGTCCGGGAGTCCGGGAGTCGCAACCATGGTCAACCAAAGTAAAGGTTCCAGGACAACCTCAAGACCTATAAGTACTGCAAGTGGGTCGAGTTTCCACCCAAGCAACTTGAGCCTTGAGGATGCATATGCTGCCTCAGCCAGAACCAGGAGGTGTGCTTTGACAAGAAGAACAGTCGCCAACTTCGGTGACGACCGCCGACAACGCCTAGCTGCTGCACGCACCGTCACCAAACTGTCCTGTATAATGTCCAAAGGCCGGATGTTCCATGTTCTACCAACAATAGCATCTGTGCCTCTCAGGCATTTGGGATTTGCAGTCAAATGCGATCAACTGATCAAACCACAACCGATCATCATCCTCGACCATCCAGAGACTACCAGGAATATTACATACTCTTGTGTCAGAGAGGTTCAATACTTCAGGGTTATGGGAGCACTATTACACGTTTCAC